AAGAGACAATAAAGCACACATGGGCACCCCAAACCCAGGGTTATATTACTTGAAAGTCATTTCAATGTAACGTCTCATGAACTTTGGGGGCCACATGTTTTGTCCTTCTTAAATCTATCTATATATCCCACATCATATCACCCTGGTACCATGAGTGATTATGCTACTGGATTATCTATGTTGGGTATTAGAGAGAGGAAATGTGCCCATTCATTCTGCTTGACTTTTTTTTAGTGGTTTTAATGTCTTTATGTATATTACCAGACATTGTTCATTGCCCTAGCATCCTTTAGAGAAGAGATATAACTTAACTAACTAGCTGTGACTAACAACAAAGAAAGGTAAGTCACTATTGCAATCCCGCCCCGCCCCCCGGGTGGCAGGTGGGCAGGACTGATGCTGAGGGAGTGTGTGACCTGCCTAAAGCCACCAGATGAGTACATGGCAGGCAAGAACTGAACCAGGGGTCCTGTGTCATAGCTCAAACTCTTAGTCACCACAATGCTTCTGTATGCTTTTAAAATTCTGATCTCAGCTATCATGGGTTGAACGGAGAGAGGCATCTTAATAAATATTGCAGTGAAGCCCCATTTCTACACAGAGACGCTCACAGAGCAAGCCAACCCCCCTTTGTGCCAGGCTGTGGGGGGAGTTGGACTGGGCAGAGGTTTCCGTCCAGCCTTGTTGGGTCTCCTGTCACTCTTGACACAGAACTCCCCCTTGCACCTGCTAAATGTGTGGGAAGATATACAGTGCGGTCTGTCAGTAGAAAACCTCAAAGCTTCACACCGGAGCAGCAATCTGCATCCCTCCTACCTGCTCACTTACTCAGTAATACTTATGACATCATCGTGATTCAGTTCTCTTCTCCTATGCACATGCCATTCTATGATCCTTTTAAAATTGCTATTTTGTTATTGAATTCTACGAAGCACACCTATAGAGATTCAAAATAAAAGCATTCATGCAGCCCTTAGAGAAAGAGGGTAGGCTGCATACCACATAGGAAATGCTCCTCTATTTTACAAACCTTTGGCTTTCTAAAAATGAGATAGTACTCTGTAAGCTTTACCCTTTGCTCTCAGGAGTGCTGAAATTTCATTTTGTTTCCAAGCAGAAATCAAGGAGCACTGTAGCTAACAAGGATGGATTGCCATGCTACTGGTGCTGGATCAATGCTAACATAAGTATAATGCTAAGGATAAGATTTGGGTCCTTTCATTTTTTTCTGGAAAGGCCATAAAGGTCATTGGCAGCCCTCTGTGGCATCTCTCATTGCCCACAGAAGCCACTTCCAGCATTCTAGGCCACAGCCGTCTCTTCTTGGCAATTAAGGCAGACAGCTACTCAGAGAACATACTGTATGCAGGATTCCTGTTTTTGGCAGGGGACAGACAAGCGTGAAAGTAGTAAGAAAGTGCTTAAATATTATTTGGGGGGGTCACAAATAAAAAATAGCAACTCCAATTATTTTGAAAGAAAGTCACCATATTGCATTTTTCCTGGAATGAATGAGACTAGGGCATTCAAGATGAATGGCAACGTATTCCGAACCAGCAGAGGGAGCTACAAAGTTGGTCAGAATTGTTTCCTACAGCCTAAGACCAGTGAAACCTTTAAATTAAATTAACATATTTTGACATTTAGCGATAGGCTCATATTACCACTGGAATTTATTTAAGAACTTATTTTAGGGGGCATAAAAATATATTAGGTCTTGTCTTTTTACCTTGAAAAACATTGAGATGCCTTTAATTTATTTTTATTTTTAATGAGAGGAGGAGGAGGTGGAGGGGAAGGAATAAGAAGAAGAAGATTCTATACAACTACCCCAAAGTTAGCAAGTCTGCATCAATACTTCTCCTGCTTTGATCTCAGCAGGTGGGATTGGATTTATTTATGTTCATAATCATACCACAAAATACTCCAACTCCATACAGTTTTCTGGCCACACAGAAAGTAACAGAGTTTCTATTAACATTGTTTATGGTGGGAGATGATTGTCAGCCATCCACGCCCAGACCTGAAGCATCATGCCCAGTCTAATAGTGTGAGGTACTCTGTTAGTAAGTGGAATTGCCAATCATCCTGTACTTTCTCTTTCCCAAACATAGCCACAGTAATTCCCCAACCAGTTTGTTGTTGTTGTTGTTGTTGTTGTTGTTGTTGTTGTTGTTGTTGGAATACAGCTTTTAACCAAACCCTCAGAAAGAGGCCAAATTACACAAAATTATATCTCTCTTTCGCATATTTCAAATTGGTGCAAATGCTATGTCAATTTTAATGCAGGCAACATTTCATACAACAAGCGGCTTTCCAAGGAAAGTCTCGATGGGCTGTGTTCACATACCCACACTGAATCCACTCATGTTTCTGTCCATGAACCAGAGGAACCTTGAACTAGACCAGCTTTATGCCAATAAAATTTATCTACTCCCAACAGCAAAGATGGCTGATCACCAAACCCTTGCCCAGGCAGCCCCTTTCATTGAAACTCAGTTGTTGTTGTTAAATAAATCCCTAACTAAACAACAATTATACTATGTAGACTTTTTAGAAGTATTTAAAGGTTATGTAGAATTAAGACATGCTATTTCCCAAAATTAAATATTTGTTGTCATTTTGAATTAAAGCCCGCCATGAAGTACAGGGGGAAACTTTCAGTGCCATGCTAGAAAATCTTCCCAAACTCCAACAAACATCTTACAGTAGGCAAATCCAGAGATGGGACAGTATTTTCTATTACAATCCCTGCTTTTCAAGCACTTGCAGCTTTGATGACATATAGTTTTGCTTTTCTCTCATTTCCCACCCCACCCCTCATTTTGCACTTGTGCTATCTGCCTGAAGGATGATTTTCAGAACTAAAAGGGTTCTGTTGTATTCGGGAATGAGACTGATTCACGTACGTGACAAAGAAATGTTCCGACTAACTTCATCGCTTCTGGGATTGGAAATTAGGAAGGCTGACATTGGGCAAGATCCAACATCTGAGAAACAGCTTTTATGTATGTACAATGCATGTTAAGTGCTTTGAAGTGCATTGTATACATGCTAGATTGAATTTTATTTATTTAAATTGATTTAAAATATCACAAAAATGTTTTTGGGGTTTTTTTAAACTCAGAAACTATGAAACTGAAGGCATTAAGCTGATGGCCACTGTCAACAAAACCTGTAGCAGGAACAAAAATTCCCATTTCACAGCATGGTTATTTGAAGGCAGGATGATTAAATATAAATGAAACAGGGGGCCAAAAGGCATGATGAGGAAGGCAGAATTGCCACTCTCTTGCACTCCTAAGTGACATGAGCATTGCATATGGGGGATAGGATTACTTAGTTAAAGAATCATTCCAGAGCTCTACAGTGGTACCTCGGGTTAAGAACTTAATTCGTTCTGGAGGTCTGTTCTTAACCTGAAACTCTTCTTAACCTGAAGCACCACTGTAGCTAATGGGGCCTCCCGCTGCCGCTGCGCCACTGGAGCACGATTTCTGTTCTCATCCTGAAGCAAAGTTCTTAACCCGAGGTACTATTTCTGGGTTAGAGGAGTCTGTAACCTGAAGCATATGAAACCTGAAGTGTATGTAACCCGAGGTACCACTGTATATATTTAATGCAGCCAAGTAATTTCTACTCAAGAAGAGATCACAGCTCATCCTTGATTGCAAGACAACATATTTCTCTCTCTTCTTGCCCAACCCAAGCCATCCACTGCCACTTCTGACCTAGGTAGGCCAGAGTTTCTTCTGCCCACCTCTCAACTGGGCAGGCTACTGCTAGAACGAAAGAAAAAGGGGAAAGAGAGGAAGAAAGGGCAATCCACACAACCCAACCCATTCCATTAATGTGTGAGTAAAGAGCAACAATTTCTCTGGAACTTGGTCATATTGGCCTTCCCCACAGCTAGTGTGAAAAGTGTCTGCTTATAAATAAATAAAAAACCTCTGCTGCTGAGTAGGAAGTCTGGCCATTTGTGCTCAGGCAGCTCAGCTGACTGGCAAACAGCTGAGCCCAAAATATATGAGTGCGCAGAGATCCCAGGTCTCACGAACTCTGACCAGAGTTAAAGGGACTTTATAGCCCAGCTGTGTAATGGAAAGATGATATATACAAAAAGTAGCAAGTCAATATGGCTGTATGTACACATGTACAGAGTTTTTAACTGCGCCATAAAATGAGGCAGAGGCTCTTTCTCTACATGGGCATTTCCTCCAGATATCACCCAGTGAGCATCCAGATTTGAACCCTGGTCTCCCAGGTCCTAGTCCAAAACACTAGACCACACTGGCTCTACAAAAATCCAACATGTCTACAATAATCCTTACCCAAAAAAACCTGTAAGGTAAATCAGTACAGTGGTACCTCCGGTTACGTACTTAATTCGTTTCGGAGGTCCATTCTTAACCTGGAACTGTTCTTAACCTGAAGCACTACTTTAGCTAATGGGGCCTGCTGCACCACCGCCGCCACACGATTCCTGTTCTTAAACCAAGGTACTATTTCTGGGTTAGCAGGGTCTGTAACCTGAAGCGTATGTAACCCAAGGTACCACTGTACTATCATCTCCCATTTTGCTGAGCTTGAGAGACCAGCTTGCTAAGGTCACACAGGAAGACAGCAAGTGTGACTTAGCACTGTTGCTTTTTCTGCCCTAAGACAAAATGCATAGTTCAACTTAGAAAGTTCTCTGCCACAGGATGTAGAAATAGGCACCAGCTTAGATGCCTTTAAAGGGGGAATTAGATAAATTCATGGAGGTTGAGGCTATTTATGCCCACTAGTCCCAATAGCTGTATACCTCCAGAATCAGAGGCAGGACAATACCAAATGTCAATCACTGGGGAGTAAAAATAGGACAACAACCCCTGTGCTCCTGTCCTGCTTGGGGACTTCCTAGAAGTACCTGGCTGAAAACTGCAGAATCACAGAATTGTAGAGTAGGAAAGGACCCAGAGGGACATCTAGTCCAACCCCCTGCAATGCAGAAATCCTTTTGCCCAATGTGGGGCTTGAACCCACAACCCTGAAATCAAGAGTCTCATGCTCTACTCACTGAGCTAACTTAATGGATTATTGTTGTGACGCATCCATGCTGGGGCATCCTTGTGTAAGGAGCTCACACTGAAAAACCAACAGGCACACCATGTAAAACAGCAGCGTATCTGTGGCTGGGGTAATGCTTCCCTCTCTTAGAATAGATTAAAGGCTACACGATCAAGAAGTGTAGGTAACAGCAGCAAGAATGCTTAGAACAAGTGAAATGATAACATTTCACATCCTAAGCAAGAGAGCACTTGGGACAGTTTCCTGTGTATTAGAAACAGGCTTCGCTTGGGAGGCCAAGCTCCTTCCAACAGAAAGGAGGTTCCACCACAAGAAGGCATGCAGTAGGGGAGATGTGCATTTTAACCCCTTCTGTGCTGTAATCTGAGACCACTAGACAATGGAGCGCAGGGAGAGGAAGAGACAAAAGGAAATATGTTTCAACAGAAAGGAGAATTCTACTGTAGGGGAATTCTAATGTCAGAAAGGGTCAGAGACAAGGATTGTGCTAACAGGTTTCCCCCTTTCCTTTTCTCTTTTTTAAAAAACGAGTGCGTGGTCGAGTTTACCCATAATGTGCTATCCTGGCCAAGGCATGAACTATAGCTCTGGACCAATGTTTACCAAACTTGCTACACATGAGGGCATGCTTTAATGAATTAAAATTGGAGGCACACTTCATCCTTCTAAAAGGAAAGCATGTTTATAATTTCTTGATTATGTCCCAGGGCAATTGGCAGTCACCCTCCTTGGCGCTGCAGGATAGTATAGTTAATACTACCTCCTGGTGTCCCATCATCCCACTGGCACAGTCAGGTGTGGCTCAAGGATGAGTTGGTGATGCTTCAGAGATTGCTTCATCTATATGGGAAATGGGATAGATCAGATAACCTTTGTATGTCTTTGCTCCCTCCGTCAGGTTGATGCCAATAATGCATACAGGCTCCCTTTCTAACAGGCATAGAATTGGAGGGTGGATGCATCCCATATGGTAGCTTGATTTTTTGAGAATCAGTGCCCAAGACAAACAAATGCCACCCTGACTTTCCAGGGGGTTTTCTGATATCTCGAATGGAGCATTTCAAAGCTCAAGTTTAAGCTACGCTTTCACTCACAGCCATTGTAAGACTTTTCTTTCAGGTAACCACCTACATGGGAAGCACCTTTTATTGGTAGCTGAACATACAACTTTGCAAACCACGTGCAATAATCAATTAAAATATAAAGTGGTGCTTAGGACAGAAAAAACAAGCAGACAAAAGGATCAGCTGTTTAAATAACAGTGCAACATCCTTATTCACTTTCAATAACAGGTGCTGATTTGTCAGTCGTCCTTTACTAATATTAAGACACTGACAAAAGTCTTTACTGTTTATTACAGGGACTTGATGAAAGCCTTGATGCAGTTCATTTTTAATAATCTGCTGTGCTAATATCCCAAGGCCCTGTGGCAACCATAGGTGTTGATGGAAGATATAGAAGGAATATGAATGAGTTACAACACTGGGGACTCCTTAGACCAGAAGGCCTTGGTTTGCTAATCTGCAGGATCTGTTAGCAACATGGAGAAAAGCCAATGAGCCTTCCTTCTCCCCTGTATCTGGATTCTGTGCAGCTTGGACAAGGAAGGTATTTCCTTCTAACTCAGCACTGAAAGAGAAGCAAAGGTTCCACTCCTGGATGGTTGGAGGCACATAAGCACTATAGAATGAATGATATGGTTTCATTCCCTAGCTTTTGGATCGTGGCTGTCACACATTCAACGCATGTTTGCATACAGTACATGGGGCAGGCACTCAGAGCAAGAAAAAACAGCAATGTGCATCACAGGACCCTCTGTTCTTCCCCACTACTCATGGTCTTCACCATATGGGCAGGGGAACAGGGGGCATCCTCCCCTTCCCTCGGAATAAATAGGGCACAACAGGCTCTCCCACCCCAGCTCAAGAGAAACCTGTAAGGAAGAAGACACACACAAAGCACTAATTATTATTAAAATTTCTATACCACCCTTCATCCAAGGATTAGAGGGCGGCTTACAATACAAAAGCACAAACATCTCCAAAAGCAGTTAGTGTGATCTCCTCTGGCCAAATTCAAAGTTACACTAAATCCTGTGCTACTTGATATGCAAGCGGGCCCTAAACACTGACCTAAATCTGGGTAGGAACTTTCTTCATGACATCGTCACACAGAAACACTAAGGATCAACATGCCATTGAGCAAATCAATGCATTTCTCAACATGCAAGGTTAGTGCCGTGGAGAAAAGCCAATGAACCTTGCAAGTCCCTGACATCTGAACTCTGCACAGCTTGGACAAGGAAAAGAGTTCCCTCTTGCTCAGTGCTGAGCTCAACTTAATTGTTTCATCCTCATCCAGTGCCTGTCCCCACCTAGAATATTTATTTATTTTTCATTTTATTGTCAAACAGTGCAGCCTGTTCTGGCCATGCTTTCTGAGTAAATGAAAACTCTAGAGTTTGGTCTATAGTGGGATGGAAAACCACATTTATCTTGTTACAACAACCACCAAGAGTCTTATGTGACACCTTAAAAACTAACTGATTTATGGTGCTTACATACTCAGATAAATAATTACACAATTTGTGCAGCCTTGTTCCTTGTTCCCCACTGCTCTGCAGGGAAGCCAATCAGTCAAAAGGATAAAACAAACTCTTGCAGTTAAGCATGTTTATGAGGTGGGGGAAACTAGAAAAATTAGCTGAGTTCTGGAGGCAGATGGTATCGTTAAACTTTACAATTGTTTGAGATTATAATCTAGTTTGACCGGAGTGAACAAATGATAGTTTAGACGCTCATTGACCAGCATTGTTTGTTTACTGGGAACCAGAGGAAATTGCTTAATCACAGATTGGCTGAACTCAACTTTCTTCATAATGTATATGTACCCGTATTTTTCCGTCTATAAGACGCCCCCATGTATAAGATGCCCCCTATTTTGGGGGGCTCCAATTTAAGAAAATGAGGGGACACTATCTGTGTATAAAATGAGCCCAGATTTTGAACATTAGTTTAGAGTAAAAAAACATAGTCTTATACACAGTAAAGTACTGTAATTTATGTGTAGAAATTATTATGAATGGCAAGAATTTAGGAATTTCCATTTATCAGTTAAACATATGGATGTGCTTTAATCAGGATTAAAATATTTTCAGCCCTCCAGGGGCATCATATGGGTAGGTTCTGATTAGGGGAATTCCTTTGTGGGGGGAAACTGTCTTCAGCCAGGGATAGGCTCCAACCCTGGCTGCTTGGGTCATATGAAACCAGGACTGGTGAGCCTGAGCCTCTCCAGATGTTGGACTCCAACTCACATCAGCCTTAGGTGGCATCTGGAGGGCCAAAGCTCACCGTTCCTGCATCAAGCTTTCATAAGAGATTAGAAAGTTAGTACCTCAGTCCCTGTTTCAAGCACCTTTGTGGTACAACTGTGAGCTATAGAGGTTGGGCTTTTAGGTTAGGAGGTCTCCTGGGTAAGCATCTCTCATTATTTACAGAATAAGAATCTTTTAAAATATGTTTCAAATCATCTAGCACTGGACTGTCATAAGGAGGCAGCGCTCATGCTGCTGGATACAAATATTTAGTAGATTCTCTACTCTACCCTTCTAATGCACAGTATCACTTCGACGGCTGCATCCTGCAGGCCCGTACTTCTTATTAGGAGTAAGAGGACCATGCTGCTGTATTAATCTCTCCACTACCTGAAGGTAATTACAAGAACCTCCTAGTGTTCAAAGAATGGTTGATTTCTTTGTGCAAACATGACTCCTGGCTGCTTTTGGATCTTCATTGGTTCTATGTTTCTTCAGCTTTGGAAATGAGAATTTAGCATTAGGCTGTATCTCACACACCAACTGGTGGTGTTCATGAGAGGCAACTTCTGAGAACAGCATTTAACCTCAGCACTTTTCATTTCTGAGAAATCATCTTTGACCTCAGTGCCTAAAATGCAAGGTACAAATCAAACACTTGTAAAATAAGGAACACAACTGACACATGGGGTGGGGGGATAACAGCTATTGGAACACATTTCACTATCTTTAGAAATGTTTTTGCATGAGACAATAGGGCATATTTCATAGGCTTATTGACACTGGAAATTTATAGCACGGGGCAACTTTAGCTAACAAGGGCTGCAATCCTGAGCATCTTTTTTTAAAACAAAACAAATCAAAACCTTTAAAGGTTAGCCCTGTGGGTTTCAATGAAACTTCAGGGTAAATTTGGGATTAGGCTTTACTACAGATGGCTCGGGTGGGGGTGGAATCCAACAAATGCAGGGAGAGCAAAGAAGTGTTTCACCAAAACAAGCAAGCAAGCTTAATTTCATAAGGATTTTAAGAAACAGGTATTCAGTTCTGGAGTAACAATGTGGGGAAATGAAAGGAAACAATCTTGGATAGACAATCAAATGGAAATTAAGCTCTGCAAAATCACATCAAACAAAAGAGACCACACACTTCACAGAATGCAAGATGCAAGTAATCATACTTATGGCACTGTCTAGGATTGGTTCTGAAGCAGGTCAGAAGATGACTGCATTCCTACCACTAGAGATTTTAAATGCCACCTTTAAAAGTATCCAATTTTCAACAGCAGAACTCTTACATGGTGCTATCAACTGTGACTTAAGCATGACAGTGAAATGTCAGTGTTTCCCTGGATTAAACATGAATTGGTGACTGGAAATGGACTGACCTTTTGTTTCCATGTTTGTTGTTGTGAGGAAACTCCAATATTTAAACACTCATGGACCACCCACAACTGATGGCGAATTCCATGCACAGCGCCATTTAAACATGCACCATAGTTAAAATGAAAAATACAAACAATCCCTAATTGCATGTGTGTGAAATCATGTGAGATGGCAGGCCACCATGAAAAAAACTTGCATTCACAAAGCTTTCCATATAGCCAGCAGTTCTTTTCCTAGAACCAAAGAGGCAGCAAATAGACAAGGCAATCTCTTTTTTTATGAGTCCAATTTGAATCAACAGGTTAT